GCAGAGAGTAGACATGCACAAACTACAGCTGGGCGAGGAAGTCTTAAAAAGCTTTCTCCACAGAATCACTCACTTTCATGACATGATTGATTTTCAAATGGGCTTCTGGGTTTGGGGTGAATTGACGGCTGATGAAGTGAAACGATGCAGACAACGTGGCAGGTTATTTGTCACACGTGCTCCCCTCTATCACAATTGATTGTGTATAATTTGAGTTTACAGGAGAGTCGGTTAATATTAAATAGTAACAACTCTCTGTATTCATCACAGCAGACCCCTTTAAGCAGGCAGAAATAGAAAATGTAATCTCATCCAGGACCACGGCTGTGCCTCAGGCACTCTTTCACCCTTTTTACCGCTGATCCTCCCTCAGGGGCCGGGGCCTCTCTAAAGGAAGAGGGAAATCTATAATCTAGCAGATGGCAGAGGGTCTATGGGAAATTTTATAATCAGGAGGAAAGTGGTGATGGTGGTCACTGGGTTAGAGGGCAAAGGTTTGGAAGCTAGTGAGGGTTATTGCATCTCAGGAGCTGAAAAACTTTCCTTTTTTTTCTTACGCGGTAAACAATATAAGAAGCAGACTGAGTCTGAGCTGCTTAGAGACGTTCCTGGGTGCAGACCTGAAGACGAGGACAGCGGGCGCCAGCGCAGACCTGCGAGTCAGGGATTGCTGGAGCAGTGCTTTTGTAGGGAAGTGCAGATAGAGGGTGTGTATGTGCGAGAGGATCACAGCTCATATTCGCAGAGTACATTTAGAAAAGAGTATTAAGACATAAAAAAGCAATATGAAACTGTCGGTGTCAATATATTGGGTTTTATAAATAAACTTAACAATCATAAACTTTTATTCTTTTCTTTTCTTTTCGCTTTCTTACTTTTTTCAACTCTTTTCGTTGAACCACAACCAAACCTACAAGGATAATGATCCCGTTCTTTCTTCCCTAATTGCAGCTGGTTTTTCCTTTAACCTGCCCGGATCGCTTCCCTCTCATCCCTCGCTTTAGCGATGGGATATCAATAACAGGGAACGTTATGTTTAACATTTCCTTGTGAGGCCAAAGGGAGTCCTTGACAAACAAAGACGGAGGCACAACCACAGACTGCTCAAACACAAAGTGGAGGTCTGCTCAGATGCAGAATGTAATCTGACAGTTGTAATAGATTCTCTCTGCTCTGTTTTTCTTTATCTTTAAACTGAGCGTTTCAGTGTGGCAGTAAGAGCATTTTGTGTCCACATGGATGTTTTTCGTCAGCTAAATTGATGACATTTTAGAGTTGCATCCATGACTGATGCGAATCGCTCATATCTGTAACCAGTTTGTCGTACGTTTAGATGCGTAGCCTTTTTAAAGCCCCCGTCACCCAAATGTCTTCATGACGTGTGTCATTCTTGCTGTATTTCAGAAAAAGGTTGATTGCTCTGGTATTGAAGTGAAACTTAATCTTTTGCATTTTTAATTTTTAACACACACATATATATATATGCAATGTATATATATGATATATATCATGTTTCATTCCACTTGTTTTCTTTAGATTGTGATGGAAAACCAATTTAGTTCTTAAGTATAAAGCAAATAGCTGTTAGCAGCATCTTTTTAAATAGCATGTCATTAGTGCATGATGTTTTTTCCTTGTTTGAATGTTACTCTGTGCCATATCAGCACCAATAATACATACAGTAGGGCAGCTGTGTGACATTTTTTTTCTCTCTTTTTCTCTCCTATCTGTGTGACATCTGCTGAACTTGTCGGGTGTTTACTGGTGTAACAACTGGTGTCTTCACTCCCCCACTCCTCCTCTTCTCTCTGGTGCTTCCCATGCCCCCACACAATGAATACACTTGCATCCAGACTGCAGAACCAATTGTCACGCTGGGAGGAAGGCAAATCAAATCTTACGGCAGCAACTAGGCGAGGAGATTGCTTTTCCTCTCAGCTGCAGAGAAGCAAGTCCGCCGTCCCTGTGCTTCGGGTTTTGCTGGAGAGAAAGAAGCAAGGGGTGAAAAGGGGAAAGCTATTGGGCTGCAGCAACTGGACAGCAAGTCTCCCAGAGGTCAAGTCTCACCCATTTCCTCCCATCTTCACCATCTCGCGCTCTACTCTCTTTTCACTCTGCTCCCCACTCATGCTGACACTACCTATCAGTCACCCGGCGACACCAGGGACTACATTCCTGCCTCCAGCCCTCCAGATGAAACGGAACAATAATTATGGGGATAGAGTGGCTCTGGCCGCCAAACTGGGGCCGCTCAAATCACAACAACACATTGTCCAACCTGATTAAGTAGCCATTTGTGGCATCCTCGCTGTAGTTAAGCAGTCCTCATCCTCTTGCCTGAAACCTGACCTCCCAGCAAGATATATTGACATGTCCTCCAATTTGAGGTTGGCTAGAAATGTGGGGGAAGACATTACATTTCTTTACAGGAAGTTCAAGCTATCATTCCTCAGAATAGGCACTACCGACTGACTCATCAGTGGACGAGAATAAGCCTTCACATGATAGGCGTTCGCCTAATTCCACTAACAATTTGATAAGTGGAGAAAATAAACCACATTCTTGGTTAATGGGGAGCTGTAAAGTGGATGAAGAGCTGATGTGGAAGAGATGGTGATGCAACACTATCGACAAGAATATTATGAGGAATCTCTTTGCGTTGTGCACTCTTGAAAGAGCTTGATGTAAAATCATTATCTGAAATTTGCATTATCAAAAATACAGTTTGTTTTCAGTACAGGGACAGCTTGAGAGCAGCGGCGTGCACTCCTCTCTGAGGCTCACATAGGACATGTTAACCACACCAATTACAGGCTGCAGCCAGGGTGACATTTACAAGAATTCTTGTCGTTTAAATTAAGTTTGCTCCTTGTTACTCACGCCTTGCATTTTCATTTGTTTTCCTGCATGCACAGCCACTATAGCAGATGAAGCAGTTTAATGCGTGATCAAAATGCAGCGTAGGTAATAATGTAACGCAGTAGCAGATCAAGTATCTGCACTGGAATCGTTACAGCAATGCACAGATAGAGCACTACGCAGATATTCGTGAAAAATAGCATACTTGCATACATCGCATACATGATTTATCTGTTTGCAGGTTGCCGTTACCTTTGATATTTAAAAAACTCAAGCTGATCGGGAACAAAAGGAGTCAGGGGTAATACAAAGAAACAAACACTGTGTGCTTCAAATTATGGGATAATAATAAAATGTTAATTAAATTCCTTTTTTAATGAATTATCTTCCCTATTTTAATGAGTTAAAGTTTAATTAGGGGTAAATGGTAAAAGGGAAAAGGAATGATGTTAACCTTCAGTGCATCAATATATTGCATCATAATTTAACAAACCCCAATCAGAAGCCCACGTTGCACCGTTGCTTATTATCATGCATTTTTCCTGCAAAAAAAATAATAATGAGGCATAAAGGAGGTGAGAAGGCAAGCAGGAGCTCTTCTGCTTATTTAAGACAGACTATTTAAAGATAAACAGGCTTGTGCTATAGAAAAGTTTTTAGCCACTGTGGGGACACGACGTGTGTCAGACTCTGACGGCACATTTCGTGATTAAAGCCAGGTGAGAATGGCATCAATCTGAACAAATTAACGTTAACAGTCTCTTACATTTTTCATAAACAGCAAATAGGTCACAGGAGCCGTTTGCCAGGGGTAAACGCTGTCATCTTCCAGCATCGCTTCTATTTATTTATTTATATTTATTTATTTGAAAAAAAAAAATCCAAGAAAACTGGGACTGATGTTTGACATTTCCTCTGCCCCCCCCCAACCTCACTGCACAGACTCATCTGCATTGTGGTCTCACTTCCACTCAGACGTTGAAAAAGTTCAAAATCAACCCCATTAACATCTAATAAGGAGAGCGTTCGCACAGTTGCACACTGAGTTTTAATCCAAATCTGTCTGGTCACCTCGTATGACAGCTGCAGGGCCGCTGCTACCTCAACAGCAGGCTTCTGTCAAATGTGCAGCTCACTTGATAATAAGCAACTACGCTCCGGTGCCAGCATTAACCTTTCTTACCATCAGGGTGACTTTTTTCAACAGGGCTTTGATATCGGTACACTGTAGACTTTCCTCGGCTGTTATCAGGATACAGTATCAGCACAATGGAATTTTAAGTGAAGGGCCTCGCTTTCTTTTAGGAGAAAATACCTGCATCTTATCAAACCTTGTCAAAAGGGTCGCGTCCCGGCTTTTTGCAGGACTGAGCGTGTCCTTTGAGAGGATTTGATATCCTATGGCCTTCTGGCATCTTACCTTGTGTAAGTAGACGCTTGGCAGATGTAGGGAGGGTCTACCTGCTTAGTTTACACTAGTTTCTCTCCTCTCGTCAGACATTATCCTTGCTAAATGAATGTTGGGGAGAAAAAAATGAATGTAAGATCTCTTTGAACTGCGTTCTCTAATGTGGGTCAGAGATCTATCGCATGCATATTCTGAAAGCCTTTTCATCTGCAATTGCAAAGTTAAGATTCCCCTGGTACATTCTTAATTTCATCTACTTCTCTCGCAGTTATTTATTTAATATATCCACATTAATGTCTCCTCAAACAAGTGAAGAGTTCAGAGAAGAAAAAAGGGAAACTTTTCTTCTCCTTCTGTCTGCGTGAGTCTGTCCTCCCTTATGACTCCATTTTAAAGACAGTGGGCTGACCGGCAGTGGAGGGAGGGAGCAAGGGATCGAGAGCAGGGAGGGTGAACAGGAGAAGGGAGGCTGCGCTCACTGCAGCACTCTCCTCAGCTCTCAACTCCCAGTCAGCCTCTCTGTGTGTGTGCTTTGAAAGAGAATAGGACTCAGCCCTTTGAAAGCCGAGGCTGCTCACCAGGGCCTTTGTGTAAAATAACATCTCTACTGAAAGCCAATTACTGGTAACATTATTTTGGTTGCTTCCATTATTAAAAGTACCTCTCTCTGTTGCCCCCATCATCCCTCCACCACAACCCCCACCCCACCTGCTCCGCCATCACTCTCTTACAGACGGAGAATTATTCCATTGACTCCAGTTATGTGAACAGCAGAGCCCACCTCATTAAAAGGTATGTCTTGATTAGGAATTGTTACCAGCACCTCATTACCATTGTTATCTGTAATCGTTTTATCTAATGAGCGCACGGCTACTGTTACAGTCATTTTCATGTGTTCCTGCATGTTCTTCATTCTGTATAATTGCAAGGGGAGGATAAGATTATAGGATATTACTAAAATAATGTGTTTAGTAGACACTTGTTGGAATGAGGCACAAAGTCATACTTTCGGATTATTAAATTACACAGGGCAGCAAATCTGCAAGTAAGGATTTTCATATTTGTGATACACTTATGCACTTTGCTTCATTAATTACAAATAAACTTGAATTTTATCAGGTAAACGGAAAAAAGAAACAACTACCTAATCGTCATATTATTCAATTCAATTCAATTCAATTTTATTTATATAGCGCCAAATCACAACAAAAGTCGCCTCAAGGCGCTTCATAGATACAGAGAAAAACCCAACAATCATATGACCCCCTATGAGCAGCACTTTGGTGACAGTGGGAAGGAAAAACTCCCTTTTAACAGGAAGAAACCTCCGGCAGAACCAGGCTCAGGGAGGGGCGGGGCCATCTGCTGTGATTGGTTGGGGTGAGAGAAGGAAGACATTATGTTTAAACAGCCCGTTCTCACTCCCGAGGCGTAACATGCCGACGTTTTGTCACGTCCTGCGGCGTTCCTGAGGAACGCGAAAGGAGACCTTCGGCGTTCTTATGGTACGCGGTGGGTTATGGGCGAAATCCAGTGCAATGACGCTCCCGCGGTAATAGACGTCCCAGCCCTAAACCTAACCTTATCCCTAGCCCTAACCATAACCTTTTTCCTGACCTTAACCAGGACTTTAATGATGTTAAATAGCGTGTTTCTAAGCAATTTGAAGAAAAAGAGCGAACATGTGTAGATTGAGTCCATACAGTTCTCATTTTTCCTCATTTTTCCGAGGTCGTCATTCAGGAACGTGGTGGGTAGCCTAAAACGTAATATGTTGACGATTTGTCACCTAGCGTAAAATGCTACGCTTTGGGAGTGAGAACGTGTTGGTTTAAAATATATTTTTAAAGAAAACAGTCATGAATGGACCATAATTGCCTACTTTTTCCCCCTTTGTCAGGGAAACAAGGATAAATGTTTCCATTGTGCATTGTTGTTCAGCTCACCCAAACCAGGATCTTGGATAGGGTTTGAGGAATTCAGGACTGGAGACTGGGATGGGTTTCATTTAATAATTCCCTGAAGCCAAAGAGGTTTTTGTAACCAGCCTCACTTTGTAAACTACAGTTCTCCCTTCTTACCTGCAGCTATAGAACATTCCAGGCTTCCTTTTGTTTGAGGCCATCCCAGCCTTTTGAAAACCCATTATGGCAATTTCTTCCCAAAAGAATCCCTGCATTAATGTAAACAAAGAGCATTCAAGTGTGGGCCTCTGCAGCACACTACAAAGAAATCCCCTCAGGAGCCGGGGAGCCTCTGGTCTGGGACAGGTGCAATTACAGTGATAACATCAGAGAGCCAGCATTACCTCCACTGCAGTCCTCTCTCCCACACTGGAGAATGTGAGGCTCGCACTATGGAATGCAGCTACCTTGCACTGTCTTTTTGTGCGCATTAGTTCACTTTCATTTTCTCCTCCGTCTGTCTTCTTCTAACCTCTAACACCCTTGTCTGTCTTTACATAAACCCATTCATGTTTTCCCCCTCCGTCTCTCTCTCGTGCATGAACACGTGTTCATACATTCACCCCTATTTAGTGTTGTTTGTAAAGCAGAATTTGTTCCAGTGGGATGGAAATCAAGTGAAGGGAAATCACGCTGTTACTGTGCAGCTGTTGATTGTGCCCCCACACCCCACCCTCTTTATTGACTGTGAGCCCCAAACAAGACAGATGCTCAGTTTGTATGCTTCCAGCATTTTCTACATCCATCTTCCTTCCAGGAATTCCTGATTGCTTCAGTATTTGTTTGATTGTAGTGAGTGAGTGCCTCCTGTTTGTTCGATGCGATGTCCTTGAAGTCGGTGCATCCATCCAAAATGTCCCTGGCTGAAACATCCTGTGGCTGGTTTGCTATCTATGAAGTTGAAAAATGTCCACTTAATCCAAGAAGGCTCTCAGGAGATTTAAACGCCCTTCTTATTACATGGAAGTGCAAACAGAAGCTGGAAAGAGGTTCTGTTCTTTGAAAAGGTGCTTAACTTGGACTTAGAGCC